CGCCCACTTGGGACGCGGTAACCAATTGCGAGACGACGAGAGACGTTGAGACCATTTTTGCTTTTTATCTTAACTTACTTTTTACTTTGGTTTCTGCTGCAGGGACCCCCGGCCGGCCGAGACGGGGACCAGAAACTCGCCTGCGCAGCCTGGCAGAGGATGAGTTGTTGGAATTTTGGTTCGTATTTCTGTGCGTTTCTGCTTTGCTCTGTTTTTACTTTACTTGGTTTACTTTACCTGCCCTGCTCTGTTCTACTTTACTTTACTTTCGGCATGCCCCAGGTGGCTCTGATGGAAAAAGATGGGAGAGACAGGCAGCCGGCCCTGCAGGTCTCTCCGTCTCTGGACTCGCGAAACAAAACAGCATGTCCCTCTCGAGCACGGTTGCCTGCTACTTCGCGAGCTGTCTCATGGAAAACGAGACACGGGGCCCTTTGTGCGCGTGTCGCCTCTTTTTGCACTGCTGCCCAATTTGACTGACGGAGCGTGTGTGACTTTGCTCGTCTTGCCAAACACCTCGGACCAGCCGTCCGCCATCCGCCTGACAGCTTGAGCTTGACCAGACTGCGGCTTGTGCACCGCAGCCCGTGCGTGAATGCGTCGAGACGCTGACTCTCTCCCGTGTTTGCTCGGCCCCTGCTGAAGCACGGCGGTCCCGCGTCTTGGGCTCGTTGCACGTACATCACATTCATCTGAGGACGCCAAGAATACAGTATTCGCATTTTCCAAAAACGCAAGAAAAGGTGCAACGACAGGCGGGAACAGCGGGAGGCAAGTGTGTTTCAGCCGTGCTGTGGCCACCCCGTCTTTTTGTTCGGTACAGGGCGACGACGACGGTTTCCGTCTCCTTTAGGTGTGTGGCGTGGTGATTCGCTTTTTTTTGGCCATGTTTGGGATTTGAGGGGTCGTGCGTGCTTGGCTGGGCTGGAGTTGAGTAGATGCCTTTCTAAGAAAGGACGTGGTTTTGGAACTGACCCGTTGCCGCTGTTGCCGAAGAGGGGGCTGACTAGAACCAGAGGGGATGCTGGATAAAGCCTCCCTTGATATCCCGTCGCCGCACCCTTGGACGTGTACCGTCCCCGTCCCCGTTCCCGTTCCCGTTCCCGGGCTGTGGATACCCGGGGTCGGCGCGGGACGCCGTCGCCGCCGAGGCCAAATCTCCATTGACTTGCCCTACAATCTTTGCTGCCAACCTGCTGCACAACAGCACGGAACATGGTGCGCAAAATGCCACGCCGCAGCTCGTTTTGAGTTTCGAGGCTGCGTATCCACAACTCCAGACCCCGTCGCGCATCTCCCGTGTTGGGTCGGCGATGGCGCTCGGCAACTTTGTTCCGTCGACATGGTCATCTCCGCCTTTTTCTTGAACCCAAACCTCACGACTGCCGACGACCATCATCATCTCTGTCATGGCACCGCGCGAGCAAGTGAGCGGCTAGCAAGGCGGTGGCAAGCCGTGACATGCTTCTCTCAGTCTCGGCTCCCTCGCCAAACCGTCGAGCGACCCCGAGGTCGTCCGCTGGACACTGACCAGCGCTGGGTGATGGTATCCGTTGCGATGCGGAGCCTACACCGCCGTCCATGTCTCTCCCATCCGTCGTCAACGGCTCTCTCAGAGGTCGCCATGGCGGGAACGTCGTCTCCCAAGACCAAGGGCTGTGACTCTTGTCGCAGAGAAAAGAAAAAGGGCAAGTGTCCATGTAGCCCGTAAATCCAAGGCGTTTCACCCGGGATATAATTATTTATAATAATTATTGCAGATGTGCCTCTTCCCCCTCCCTTCTCACACACAGTATATGTATAACAAAAACCACCGATGCCAACGCCTACGCCAGTGTGATGTCGCGCCCTCGTACGTCTCTTTTACTCGTGTGGAAGCACCATTCTGACCCCCCAGACCCGCGAGAGCGTCCTCGACCCCCGCATCGACCTGCAGCCGTGGATGCGGCGCCTCGCGTCCATCAGCAGCGAGACCGACTCGCCCATTGCCCGCGCCGCCCTCAACAAGTTCACCGCCGCGGGCCCCCCGCTGGTAGCTCGCGCTACGAGACTCCCGCCCTGCTGCCGCTGCTGATCGGCCGGCCCGAGGCGCACGCCCCCTGCATCCGGGCCCCGTACGACGACGCCCGCGCCGAGTACGCCGAGGTCTTCCAGGAGGCGCTGTGTCTGGTGCCGGTTTTGGTGGTGGTCGCGTGGCTGGCGTCGCGGGACGAGGCCCGGAGGAGGACGCTGCTGGCCCTGCTGGACGAGTACAGGGATACCTTTGCCATGACCGTTTTCGGAGGCAGGCTGCGAACTGGCACGATGCGCCTGCGAGGACGCGGTCCGTGGAGGAGGAGGAGGAGGGCGTTGGTCGTCATGGCGTCAAGGACGGGGAAGAAGCGCTGCAGGAGGAGAATTGCGACAGGTGTTGTATTTGTAGCTGGGATTCTCTCGAGTACATATATATATATATGTGTGTGTGTGTGTGTATGTGTGTGTGTGCATACCTGTGGGTTGTATATAGAGCCTCTTTTTGTAATGGAGTTGGGGGATCGCATACCCGGTGACAAAGTTTTCCTTTATTTGAGACCTTTTTTCTCGCTCCGCGTCTTTGTGTGCTCGTACGAAAGCCCCCATCTCCAATTCAAAAATCGTCGGTTACCGCGGCCTCAACATCGGGACATGCCACACATCAAATCACATCACGGCAGTCCTCCCTGACACAGAGCAGCCCTGGGTATATCCAAAGTCACTGCCGATACTCATTATCACGATGCTATTTTTTCCATGCCAACACCACGACGCCACGGGGCGAAAGGAGAAGAAAAAGCCAACAAAATCTTCCAGAGACGTCTCTTTCTTTTTTCCCCCCCTCCCCATGCCCAACCAAAACCCAATCTTAAAACTGGTCTGTTCAAAATTCCCATTGATTAGCTCTCAACCATCTCAATCGGCTTGTAAAAAGAAAAAAATCGTCATCAAGAGGGAAAAAGGAAAAAAAATAGGCGGCCCTCACCTAGCGTCATGCTCATGCTCACGTCGGTATTCTCAACCATCTTGGTAAACTCCTCAAAGCTAATCTTGCCGTCATTGTCCAGGTCCGCCTCCATGATGGTCTTGTCCACAATCTGCTGCAGCTGCTGGTCCTTGAGGTTGCTGCCGACCATCATCTTGAGCACGATGAAGAGCTCCCCGTTGCTGATGTACCCGTCGCGGTCAATGTCGTATACCTTGAAGGCGAACTGGAGCTTCTGCTCCTTGTTGCCCTTGCTGCTGAATGCGCTGAGGCCCGACACGAATTCTTGAAAGTCGACGTCGCCGCCGCCGTCTTCGTCGAAGATGGCAATCATTCTGCGACACGCCGTCGTTAGTTTTACACAAGACCCATGGGCGTCAGAGGAACCAGGATTATTTTGTTTTTGCCGTACCGTGTAGCCAGAGGGTTGGACGAGATTTGGGGAAGACTCAGGAATTCGTCGCGTTCAATGGTGCCAGAGTTATCCTAATCTTGTGTGAGTTTTCTTTGTTTCTTTTTTTGCTCCTGTCCCTCGAGAAAAAGGGTTGGGATGTGTACTTTATCAAGCTTCATGAACCGTTTCCGTAACCGGTCAACTTCTTCTCTGTCGACTGCACGAGGTGGGAATTAGTATCGATTGAAAATCGCATCGCTGGGGAGGCGGGAGTGAGACCAGGGGCCGGCACTTTGGGGAGGGGATCAAAGTCTCACAATTGGAACCTTGGACGATGTTGTCCAGGACTTGGCTGGTGGTGTTGCCCATGATTAGTGGACTGCACAGACGGGCGCCTGTGACGATTAATGGCCGGTGGGTGAGCTTCTGCTGTACGAGGTTTGGCGATGGGGATCTTGGGACGTCGGCGAGGGAAGCTGGCCGTGGAGATTGCGATAAGGCTGATGGGCTTGTAGGGTTGGCCGAGCTGAGGGCTGCTTTGTTCGGCGTGCAATCTGGAGGGGTCGTGGGTGGCCGTGGTGGTCATGGATGGACCCCGGAGCACGGGCCATCTGACGCCATGTCGGAGGCCCAGGCCAGTTGTGTGAGGGCGGCCGCCAATTGACCTTGGCAGGCACCAAGCACTGTACAATCGGAGTAGGATGCATACATGCGAGTCTATTGAGGATAGGATGGAATGTTTTTTAATTCTTTTTTTTCTGGACGTGTTCGCTACGCATTGGCAGGATATATTTCCAAAGCTTGGCCAACTTTTTTAGCCTTGGAGAAGCTCGAATGTTATTTCAATCTGCCGTGCAACAACATGTATGTGAGCTGCTACCAAGCTGAGCTGTGGCTAGTTAGGTGTGGCTACGGAGTAGTTAAGTGTAGTACGGTCAGTGGCGCAGCTACCTTGCCCGCTGTGGGAAAGTCGGCAATACGTCGGCTACCACAATTGTGAACAGGCGACGCCAGAGCCAGGGACACCCCATTCCCCATTCCAGGCCGAGCAAGTGCTCCAGGTGGCTCGCACCAGGCGAACTGGTGCTGGCCGGGTGGAACTCAGAAGCTGCCAGAGCACACATTTTGCTGGGTGCAGCTGTGACTAGGCCTCTCTTCGGGCGCGTCAGGCCTAAAAAGACAAAAAGAGGGTTGCAAAATGAGGCGGTGGCCCCAGCGCCACAAGTATCATTCCCGCCAAGCAGCCGTGGTCAGTGACTTTGTCTCCCTCCCTAAAGTCTCTAGCGGCGCTGCCTGGCACCCCGACTGGCAACTAGCAGCCAACTACTCGCCGTCATCAGTCAACCGCCCTCTTTCCACGCCTGCAACCCGGTGAAAATTCTTCGCGCGCCAAAACCATCCCCAACGTCACCCCGTCGGCCGGGACAACTTTGCCATCAAAAAAGAGCCACCACAGAGCCTTTTCCATCTTTCTTTTGCTAAAAGGCAACTTTGCATGACTCTATTTATGACTTGATCGCTTTTTTTTGCGGATTTTCCGCTGGCTTGACGCCGACCTTGGCTCACCCGGCACCATGTCGTCACGCAAGGTCAGAGTCAAGAAGTTGAGTGTCAAAACTCCTCTTCCTGTGCTGAGAGAGGATCAAATCGATCCTTCTGAATATGAAGCACTCAGCTCTGACAACCAAATTTCAACCGGTGTCGAGCACGCCGAGGAAAAGGTGAGCATATTTTTCCCCTTATCTCGCACTCTGATATCACGTGCCCTTGCACGTGATATGGCTCCGGCACGTCAAGCATGCCCAATGGCAATTGCGAACAATTTGTAACGGAAGCTGTTGGCTGACCCGTGTAACCCTTCCAATAGGAATACCATTTGCAGAGCATTCTCAAGGATGCAGGAACCAGCAATACTCAAGAAATTCCTGTACCACCACCCAAGGAGAGTGACATCAACTATGATGCACTCTACCCTAGTAACTTTCACCAACCATCCTCATATATCCGGTTTTCACAGACTGTAGAAGAATGCATCGGTTGCCAATATGATATGAGCACAGGGGACACCGAATTCCTCAAGTCATACAATGGCAAGTCCCCGACAGGAGGCCCCTTGTCAGAAGATGACTTTGAGCGAATCATGGAAGTCTTTGAAGATACGGCGGCTGAGCAGACTCCATTTGCGTCAGTCGACAATACCATTGTCGGCTATGACATGATGGTCCCGTCGCTCAATCACCTCAACAGCACCTCAATTCTCCAGCATGCCAAGGCAATCTATGAGTACTGGAGGAACGCCCGCCAGGAGAAGGGCAACAAGCCGCTGCACCCTACTCTCAAATTTGAGATACATCAAGAGACAGACGATACCGACCCCTATGTCTGTTTCCGAAGAAGAGAGGCCAGACAGACCCGAAAGACGAGGGCTCGGGACAATAAAGTTGCCGAGACACTAAAGCGTCTCCGGCGAGAGCTCGAGGATGGTCGGCAGCTTGTGCTACTGTCTTTTGAACGAGAGATGATGAAGCGCGAGCTGCTGCACATGGACCGGGCCGTATTTGAGGAGCGAGCCAGACTGAAGCAGATGAAGCTGAGGCTGGGTATCAAGGGCGAGGATGAAGACCTTGTAAACCAAAAGGTAAGCACCACCTCATACGAGCGCTCCCCAAAAGCAACTCTTGCATACTGACTTGATTGCTTGTAGCCCCAAAAACGCAAACCCGCAGAATCTTCAAATGTGCAGAGACAACAGGCTACCCAGCTCCGGGCGCCTGCCCGATCCGATGGCCGTTCTCTCGAACAAGACCTTGTGTTGCTGGCTGATCAGCTGGCACAGAAGGAGAACGAGCTGCGAGAAGAAATCGAGAACAAGGTCCAAAACCACCGTAGGTGGAACCAGAACCACATTGATCTCACTCGAGGTCCGTTGTCGCCGGTGAAGGAGCAAGGTACGGAACTCAAGTTCCGACCAGCCAAGACTCAATATTTGATGACACCACCGGCGTCCATCTCTTCTGAGGAGATGGATGTGGATGAGGTACAAGCTGAGCCCATGGACATTGATAAGCCACACCGACTTCCCGTCTTCCAGTTCAAGGCGGGCACCATTTCACAAGACCAACCACAGACAAATCAGCCGTCATTCCGGCGCCGAATCGGTCGTCTCCAACGGCTGTGGATTGATCGTAGAGGAATGGCAACACCGCCAAGGCAGGAGAGTAGCGACTATTCCGATCGGTGGAAATACGACTCTGATGACGAGGACGTCGACCCTCCTGTGTACGAAGTCGATCCGTTCGATACCCGAGCCCTCAAGTTTAGGGCAACGATTCCGCTGAGCCCGTACATGTTCCGCGGAGGACGGCCTTCGATTGCTCCCGAGGCGGCACCCGCGGCGGCAGCGGCCCAAGCCCAAGCCACAAGTAGCAGAGCGTTACCACAACCTCCCCCGGCAGCACCGCAAGCACAAGCAACGTCATAGAAGACGGCTTCTTGTGCGCGGCCAGCTAGTCAGTGATGGACGTGTGTTTGTATGATTTGATGTTGTTGAGACTCCTCATAGAGCGGTGGTGTCTTTTTGTCCTTTTTTTTTCTTTTTTGTCGTCGTTTCTCATCGCCAGTGATGAGTGGAGCATTCCAGCGTCGCTTCGGCGGAGGAGAGACTTTTCCTCCAAGTAGCCGAGCTCAGCCTGGAACTGTACAGTACATGAATTTTCGGCAGGCAGATGGGGGAGGCTGGCAGGATGGGATAGGCATTTTGCGCGGAGTCGGGAGTTGACAGTTGATAGTGTTGGGCCATCCTTTTTAGACGCAGACCTAAAGAGCCTTCAGAAGGCACTCATTGAAGAAGAAGAAGAAGAAGAAGAAGAAAAATAGTAAAATCAGGCCCGTTTGGCCCCTCGAATGCTGTTCCGCGCTTGCTCTTGTGATGGTGTTTCTTGAAGTCGTATCGAGCACAGAGGTTCAAAGGCCGAGATTGTCCGTCGTCAGGCCATGGTGGAGTGAGCGCATGCCCGGCCGCCGAGCTGCGGTAGCGTGTTTTGCAAATCGTGTCCCCGTAGTAGCAAGGTGTGTATGCCTACTGTCGGGACGCAATGCCGTGATTGCTGTGTCCTGTGGTCATGTCGTGAGCAGATGCCGTATGCGGGCGGATATCCAGGTGACATCAACTCCTGGGCCAAGAGTCATGTGTCAGCAGCATCAGGAAGCGAGCCGGGGGCCATTTCTTTCTTCTCCTTCCGACTCACTTTTTCTACCGAGAGGCCTGGGATACAGCGGGGGTCTGACTAAACGAGTGAATGGGAGTAAACGCAGAGATAATCTCCAGGTGCATGGGAAGCATGGCAAGGAAAAAAAGAGAGTTGATGTGCTGGTGGTTTTTTTGGTACTTCTTGTGGCTGCGGGGCCGGGAGATGCCTGGCGGGTTTTGTTGGAGCAACAGGAGTGACGGCTTGTGGGGCGCCGCGGGTGGGTTGGTTGGAGGCACATTGCTTCCCGTCTCTACTCTGGCTGTTTGTACAAGTATCAATTGATCCCTTTCCAAGCTGGGTCGTGGCAATGCCGCCGCCACTTTTGCCCTCTCTCATACCTTTGCTTCTGACAATCGCATCCTCCTGTGCCTAGTTTAATCACTGTTGGAACTCGGCCTAAGCGGACACAAGCAGGCACGGGGTATGCGGGATGGCAAGCTTCGGAATGGCTCGCGGCCAACGAGAAACAAGCCCCGGCCTGAAAAGCTTGTCCCGTGTCATGTACTGAGGCCGCGGGCAGAAGTACCGGCGCTTGACGGTTTTCTCTGTCTGATGCCGCACGGCTGGCCTGGCGAGGTCATGCCCGACTTTGTCGTCAAAAACGCTGCGGATAAAGGCCAGGGCAGCAAGGGAGGTGTTGGGGCTTGTGCAGCAAACTACAGCCAAAGCCTGAACAAGACTGTACATCCTTTGCCCAACGCCAAACTATCACGGCGGAGTCTGTGTTCACATGTCCCATGGTGCTCTTGCGGATCGAGTCTCATCAGCAAGTATCTTCTTCGAGCCGGTCGCCGGCACGCCCGGATGATGTAAATGTTTACAACGCCAAAGACATCATGGGAAAATCGTACAAGACGGTTCATCTAATGGAAGGCTCAAGATTGTGAGAGGTGACGTGGGCTGTGGTGCCGACATGCCATGGGTGAAGTTGTTTGAAGCCTCGCGCCTCCCGGCATCAACGACCAAAGCCTCGGTCGACAACATGACCAGATAGTCAAGAGACCCGACGAGACTAAAAGGAAGAACGTGAGCAGTGTATTGCGCACGGGATCGTCAAGGACCCCAACAGTGCGTCTATGCGCACCGTATCTTGTCGTACCTCGCCTGTGCTGGTGTCGGGCAGAGTGGGTTTAAAGACGCGGCCGGAAAGCGGCAACGTATGAGGCAAAGAAATTGGCGCTCCAGGACGAAGCATGAAGACGGAACTCGGTAGGGTCGGGCGGCGTGTGTTGCGTCTAATCCCCCATTCTGCTGCGACGACGGGGGTGGTTTGACAGAGTCTCACAGGGGACAGCGAGCACGACTTTTGCAAAGTCTGAATTCGCAACGGATGGCCGCCTATATTGCCGCATGATCTGGTCCAAGCTACGCCAGCGGGGGTGGTGGTGAATCCATCTAGACACCGGAGCTTTCCTGGACTAGCAGCGTTTATCTCGTACATGACGAATACCCTGTGAGAGTAATACGCAACTCGAGACCCTGATGCCAACGAAATGTTGACCTAGGGGTAGGCAAAGCGGAGAGCTAAATAATAAAGCCTTGGTGCTGTAAATTATCCCTCCAGGGGCCCTGCCGGGGGCGAGCTTATGTTAAATAGCACCAGACTTGACCACATGTGCGGATTTCACGAGGTCTATGATGCTACATGTGAATATGGCAAATTGCTTTTGTTATCAACTAGTTATTACGAGCGCTTTACCCTCAATTAATCTAGTACCGAAGAGTAACCTTGATATCAAGTTGATTAAAGAAAATAAAAAAAAAGAGCTAGATTTAAGATATCGAATATTATATTTTAGCTGTATTTAGGCCAGAGAAGCGTAACTAACCACATAATATACACAAGTACACGCATCGTGATGCGTTGGATATACTAGCCTACCGAAGAACTAGCAAAAAAATAAACACTATGAGCTAGTTTATCCTCACTGCGGAGGGATAACCTTGACATATATATTATATTAAAGAGGTAAGGCAGGAAGCTGAGCCAGCTCCGGTTACTTGTCAACGTGCCGTTTTCGCTCTCCGTCGGCCACCAATTTCCTCTTTGCCTGATACTGGAGCGAACAGTGGCAGTAGGCTTTCGGCAGTCAGCTCGTTGTGTAGCAATACCCGTATGCCAGCCAATGGCGTCAAGGTCACATTCGGCGGAGAGTGACGTATCATGATTGAGTCTTGTGCAAGCTAAACAAAGCCCTGAAAGTTCATCTGTCACAAACCTACTTTGGCTCCGATTTATTAAGTAATAAGTAGTTGTCTGTTTTGAAGCCAGAGGCCAACTGCGTTGGTGGGGGGTATGCACGGCATAAAGTTGTGCATTGCGTGCTTGGGACATGATGAAAGCCGGGCAGGTGTTCGGCAGGCGGGAGTGGAGGGGGCAAGAAATACCATGAGAAAAGAGGCAATACGTATTCGGCCAGATTAGCTAGCCATGGCGCTTTACATTATAACATACTATAGCATAGTAGTGTGTGCTTGTCGGTGGGTAAATATATTCTGCCAGACTATAGATGAAAAAAGCGGGTGTGGGATATAAAACTTCTTTTTTCCCCTTGTATAAAGTTGAGAGCTTAGCGGAATAGGTGTTGAATCACGCACTGGCCATGGAAAACTTGGTCGATGGGAAAGATTTGCACGCAGTATTCCAGGGAAACACTCAATATAGCCGTGACTGGTTTTATTAGCATTGTCCATATCTAGGGTAGGATAATGTCTGAGAAAAAAAAATGGCAGTAGGCTGCTGTGGTCTGTTGTATTTCTCAAGACGCTCATATCATCGATACACAAAGTATACATTACGAGGTGCAATTTTTCTAGTTGCAAGTCATCTGCTCATCTTGCCAGGGGCATCTATCCCAAAGACTCCTCTTCAAGTCGGGCGTCTAAATAGCCTCCACCCAAGCGCGTCCCCTCTGGTGTGTCAAGGCTCCAGTGAGGTTGCGAGCCCCACAATACCCATGCTGAAAGCGGGTGACCGCAAGGCGACCCGCTAATTGCGTAAGGGCTGTATTGAGTTAGATGTAGCGATTTATAGCATATTATCTTGATAGTTCTCTTAAAACCACTTAATTTACTAATAAATTAATGTACCTTTTTAAGATATATATCCCTGTAGATACTCGATTGGAGCCTCAACACACCAGAGGGGACATTGTAACACGTCAGTTGCCTTCGCGAAGCACACGCAGGTATCAGTCACGCAAAATGCCCAGCCCACCCACGAGGTCGGGCCCCACCAACGCCGAACCTCAATCCACCTGCCCCTCCACGACCCCTCCAACAAAGTCCAAACATCATCTTTTTCTTCTCAATTTCCGCAACACCACACGCAGTCTCTCCCTCCCATGCCGCTCCTCCGGCAACAACCACGGCCCTAATAAAAAACCCCATGGCGCCGAAAACGTCCTTCATAGCCCTCGGGTGCGAAGGCTCCGCCAACAAGCTCGGCATCGGCGTCATCCAGCACACGCCCACGGGCACCACGATCCTCGCCAACCTCCGGCACACGTTCGTCCCCCCCCCCGGCGCGGGCTTCCTGCCCAAGGACACGGCGCACCACCACCGGACGCACTTTGCCTCGCTGGCGCGGGCGGCGCTCTCGGCGGCGGGCGTCGCCCCCCCGCCGACGTCGACTGCATCTGCTTCACGCGGGGGCCCGGGATGGGGGCGCCCCTGACGTCGGTCGCCGTCGGGGCGCGCGCGCTGTCGCTGCTCTGGGGCCGGCCGCTCGTCGGCGTCAACCACTGCGTCGGCCACATCGAGATGGGGCGGCACGTCACGGGCGCCGCCGACCCCGTCGTGCTGTACGTGTCGGGCGGCAACAGCCAGGTGATTGCCTACGCCGAGCGGCGCTACCGCATCCTTGGGGAGACGCTCGACATCGCCGTGGGCAACTGCCTCGACCGCTTCGCGCGCACCCTCGGCATCAGCAACGACCCGGCCCCCGGCTACAACATTGAGCAGATGGCCAAGGCCGGCCGCCGGCTGCTCGACCTGCCCTACACCGTCAAGGGCATGGACTGCTCCTTCTCCGGCATCCTGGCCGCCGTCGACGCCCTCGCCGCCCGCATGAGGGCCGCCGGGGAGGGCGCCGCCGGCTACACCCCCGC